CCTTCCTTCCTTCCTTCCTTCCTTCCTTCCTTCCTTCCTTCCTTCCTCCTCACTTACTGCCTTGCTTAGCTGTGGAATCTCTAGTCCCGATTGTTGGTCATAACTCGAGGACTACCTGTACTATGAAGGCATTCTATCTGGGGCTGACCTGGGAGGCAGTTTAGAAATGCTGGAATTGAATTTTTCGGATTAGTGGAACCACATCATGTCGACTGATGGTTTGCAAGCACGGTCCTCTCCACCGGGTAGGTGGACATTTTTAATCTTGCAAAACCTCCATTTTGGAGGAAAGTGTGTTGGGGGTTTGTAAAAGAGGGGAATCTTTACTTTGGGGTGGGTCTCTTCTGATCTAGCGCTGAGTCCTTTTGTTCTTCTTTTTGGCCAACCTTTTCCATTTTTATTTTTGTGTCAGGTTAATGGCTTATTCCTCTGTGTTCTTGATGATGCCTTATTGATTTCTTTCATCTTCAGTTGTTAGCGGTGGGTTAGTTTCCATTTTTCCTAAGAGCCAGCTTGGGATGGAGGCTTCTTACTGAGAAAAAAAAAAAATCTCTTTTAAGCGCAGGAAGATTTCAGTGTTCATTACGTTACATACAACTGTAAATATTTACACAGGTGGCCCTCAGCTCCCAACCAAAGTTGAGCCCAGCATTTATGTTGTTACACGAGACATTTGTTAGGCGGGTTTTGCCCCATTTTACGACCTTTCTTGCTACAGTCATTAAGTGGATCACTGCAGTTGATAAGTTAGTCACCGGGTTGTTAATTGAATCGAGCTTCCCCATTGACGTTGCTCGTCAGACGGTAACCAAAGGGGGATCAAGTGACCTTGGGACGTAAGTATGAACCTGTTGGCAAGCATCTGAATTTTGATCGTGTGACGGGGAGGCCACGGGTCATAAGTGTGAAAAAAAATCACTTCTTCCAATGCCGTTGTAACTTTGGTCACTAAATGAACTGTTGTAAGTCGAGAACTACCCATATATGCAAAATGCTGGAGTCCTCACCTCTGAAGTTTTTGAAGAAAGGGACCCCCCGTTACGGGATCGGAGGGGAATCCCTTTAAATACAACATATTTTTTTACAAGTTGTTGATCTGGGGAAATCATATAAGAGCCTCCCCTTTTCTCCCCTAGTTTCTGTGTGGCACTGAATATCTTGGTATTAACGATTTGGAGCATACAGATAATCAAAGCCGCAGTCCTTTTGTTAATTCGAAATTTAGCACGGTATTTAATGGAATCAATAATTGGTACAGGTGGGTGGGTGCAGCCTCCCCCAGCTGAAGTTGCAGCCCTAACCCCTATTAAAAATAACAACAGCTTTATCTTGTCAATTGTGGTGCCGAACAGTGCTTGTTTTAATTTCATTTTGGAGGAAAATCTGGGCAATTTCTGTGTGGTTTTAAGATAAAACCCGGGAAGGACTACTGCTGTCAATATCAGCCCAGCATAGTTAGCTACAAATAATTAGGATTTAATGTCACGGGCTGAACAGCAGTTAACTGGGTAAGTTTAAATAATTAGCATCACTTTCTTCAATTGGTTCACTGATTCAAAGATTCTGGGTAGTATCCTTTGATTAACTTAGTCCTTTCTCTCTCTCTCTCTCTCTTTTTTTAAAATAAAAAATTATTGTACAAAAAGAGTCATTTCTTGATCTTTTCTGATTGTAGCGAAAAAAACCCAAACCTTTAATTTAATTTGTGTTAAATTGTGGGAAGTACAATAGCACTGTTGAAAAAAGCTTGCTGGGTAAAAAAATACAGCTCTGATGCCAAGAAAATATTTTCCAGGTTGACTTGGTCTTGGTTTGGTTCGTTGCAAGTGACCGTTGAAATGGTGATTGGAGTTTGTTTCTCTCCCGTTTAGCTGTTTGGCTATAAAAATGGCCTTTCTGTTCAAAAGAGGAGGAAGACCAAATAATTTGGTCAGGCCATGTGGCTGATTCATGAATGTGTATCTGAATATGCTTTCCAGATCTTTGACGGTAGAAATTGTTGGCAAAGCACTCATTCGTTCATTAGATTTGTAATGCCCTGGTAAGCTTGGAATATTGCCTCTAGTTTTGGTCACCATGATATATAAAAAAAAGATGTTGAGACTCTGGAAAGAGTGCAGAGAAGAGCAGCCAGCATGATGAGGGGACTGGAGACTAAAACATACGATGAACGGTTGCAGGAACTGGGTCTGGCTAGTCCAGGGAAGAGAAGGATCGGGGGAGACATGAAAGAATCTTCCAATGTTTGAGAGAGGAGGGTCAAGCTATTCTCCAAGGCACCCAAAGGCCAGACAAGGAATAATGGATGGAAACTGATTCAGGAGAGATTCAACCTGGAAATAAGGAGAAATTTTCTGGCAGGGAGAACAATTCACCAGTGGAACTGCTTGCCACCAGAAACCGTGGGTGCTCCATCACTGGAGGTTTTAAAGAAGAGACTGGACAACCACTTGTCTGAAATGAATTATAACGGGACAGGAGGAACTGCCCCACAACACTGCCCTATGCTCCTTTCGTCATACCACCTCTCCCGAGGGTGGGGTGAGGGGGAGTTTAGCTTCTTGAAACAACCTCCAGGATCGTGGATAGAGGCTAGACTTAAGATCATCCAGGCATCATCTTAATTGGATTTTCACCAACGGCTAATGGGAGACTATGAAGCATTAGCGATGATCCGGCAATCCAGAGCTTCAGAGATGCTTCTGGATGTAGACACGGGATTGTAGACATAGGGTTCAGACTGGGTTAGCTTCTGTAAAAAAAAAAAAAATTAAAGCTGTTTATTAAATCACTTAGGGTTACATCCTACTTCTAATATCAAGACCTTCCGAATGCTTTCCTTCCTGTTTTTCTCCTCCCGTCACGTACCTCCAGATAATGGAGAACCCGGATGGTGGTTGGCTCCAAACTCTAAGCAGAACCTTGTCTGAACAGCTAGTGCTGGAAGAATAGCTTGTAATTTTGCAAATATTATCTTTTTTGCCACGGTGGACGTTTGCCAGTGTCAGATGAAGCTTTGGAAAGGGTCTTTTCTTGCTAACTCTGCTAGGATCCTGGGGAACGAAGGGGAAGAACTTGGTGGGTGAAATTAAAACAGCAGTTAAGCTGTGAAGGATCCTTGGGAGTTTGAGGGTCTGGGAACACACACAAAAAATGGGATTTTTGCCATCAAAAGTCCTGCAGCATTTCGCACACTTTTGTGCAATTCTTTTTTTTTTTTTTAGCAGTTTGAGAGGTGGTGCTATAGCTGGGGAAAACAGCTGGAATAAATCCAGCCAACTGGGATTTCTTCCACAGGCTGTTGTTTCTGAAAGACAGGATGTTTTATATATATATACAGTGACCCTATTTTCTTGGGGGAGTGGGGGAAGGATAAACCTGAAAAGGGGGCAAATCTAAAAGTGGTTCATCAGGATAAAAGAACTGAATTACGTTTGTAGATTTAAAGTTTTTCTTAGATTCACTTTTGAATAGAAAAAGAATTGGAACAGAACAGAATAGAATTTTTTATTGGTCAGGTGTGATTGGACACACAAGGAGAACTTCTGCATTGGAGACAAATTTCTTGTGTGTCCAATCACACTTAGCCAATAAAGAATTCTGTTCTGTTCTGTATTCTATTCTATATCCTGTTCTGTTCTGCCTTCTGTTCTGTTCTATTTCTCAAAGGAAAATTCAAGAGCGAACCCAAGAAAAACATACAGAAACATTTAAAATCAATAACAGGCGAAGTAGTATTTCTACTACTTTGTTTTCTGTATTTTCGGATCTGGGCGGAGACCTCTTTGATCCAGATTTTTTTTTTCTTTTTTTTTTAAAGTTGTTGCTAATTTTAATCATGAATTCCGCTTCAGATGAATCAGCAGTAATTATTTTATTTTGCTTTGTTTAATCAGTTCCCATCCCATAGTTATTGTTGAATAGAGGAATCAGCCCGCAGTGAAATGCACAATTATTTTCTCCTTTGCAGTCTTTGAAAAGTAATAATAACGGGAGAGAGGAGTGCATAGTTTACAAATGTTGTATAATTCAGTATTATGGGTAGTCTTCGACTTAACAACCATTCATTTAGTGACCGTTCAAAGTCACAACAGGACTGAAAAAAGTGACTTATGACCGTTTTTCACCTTTACGACTGTCACAACATCCCCATAGTCACGGGATCAAAATCCAGATGCTTGGCAACTGACTCACATTTACGACGGTGGCAGTGTCCCGGGGTCCTGTGATCCCCTTTTGCGACCTTCTGACAAGCAGAGTCGATGGGGAAGCCAGATTCACTTAAACGATGATGTTACTCACTTAACAGCTTCAGTGATTCACTTAAAAGCTGTGGCCAGAAAAGTCGTAAAATGGGGGAAAGCTCACTTAATGAATGCCTCGCTTAGCGACCAAAATTTTGGCCTCTACTGTAGGCGTAAGTCGTGGACTACCTGTACTTAGCCCAAGATTTTGGGATGATGTGTGTGCATGTCAGTATAAATATTTAATTAGCTATATATTCCATTAGATGACCAAAAGATTAGCTGAGTCACACTTCTTTTTTATTTATTTTGCAGGTTTTTAAGCTTTTAAGGAGTGTCGAAGCTGCACACCTTTAGCCTGGGAAGATGAGTGAGCTCGATCAGTTACGCCAGGAGGCTGAACAACTAAAAAACCAAATCAGAGTATGTATTAACTTCTGTTTCCTCTCTTTCTTCAGTGAAATATTCCCTGAGATCTTCTTTGGTTTATAGAATTTTCAAAGATTTGGGCTTTTGAGGGTGGGGGTAAAAATACCTAAATGGACTTGCGGCAGATGTTTTCATTAAAATGAAAAATCATTAAAATGAAAGAATTGTACGGAATGAAAGACACCGTTGGGCTAAGATAACAACCACATTGAAATGGCCTTGAAATTGGTTTTCCTACTCTAAAGTCCATTTTTCAGCATCTCTTAGGCCCCATGACGTATTTAAGCCACCAAGTACAATTTGGCAGTGATTGTAGGAAGCACAGAATGACCACCCCAAGAATATGAAATGGTATAGAGTTGCCTGCCTAAGCAGGGAGGGTTGGACTAGAACAGGGGTCGGCAACTGACGGCTCTGGAGCTGCATGTGGCTCTTTTGTCCCTCTGCTGCAGCTCCCTGTTACCGGTCGGCTCCACAATTGATAGGGCTTTCGGTTGGGACAGGTAGAGCAAAAAGGCTGCCACGCTAGGAGGAGACTCTATGGTGGGGGAACCAGACTGCCGGTCGGCTCCAGAAGTCAAATGAGGAGCTTCCGGTTAGGACCTTTGTGGCTCTTTGAGTATTTAAGGTTGCCGACCCCTGGACTAGAAGACCTCCAAGGTCCCTTCCAACTCTGTTATTCTACTCTACTCCTAATTTATTCTATTCTATTTTCTATTCTATTCTATTCTATTCTATTCTATTCCTAATTTATTCTACTCTACTCTACTCTACTCTTACTCTACTCTACTCTACTCCTACTCTACTCTACTCTACTCTACTCTACTCTACTCTACTCTACTCTACTCTACTCTACTCTACTCTACTCTACTCTATTTGCAGATCAAAATCCAGCAGAAGCTTTTGGGGAAATTCTTTCTGGATCTCAGATCTCCCGTTTCTCAAAACAGTGTTTCCCCCACCTGAGGCATTTTAAGATGTGTGGACTTCAACCCCCATGCTGGCTGGGGTATTCTGGGAGTTGTCCACACATCTTAAAATGCCTCAGGTATTGAGAGACAACTGTTCTTAAAGGGACTCCTGGCCAATGTTGAAACTATTGCTCTATATTAGGGCAAGGGAACCTAACTTCATTATCGACGAGACGATATTGCCTTAAATTCTAATCTTTGAGCCAGCCAAGCAGCAGAATCATATTTAAATCCCTCCCCGCCAGATTGAAATCTATGATGGAATTCCCTCCTAACCATGAGTAACGAGATAAAATTGGAAGTAGCTGTTTAACATTTAGACCAACGTGGGCACTGTGCAGAATTGATGCCGTTTGCGATGCCCAGCGGAAAGGAGTTTCATAAAGGGATTATCCGGCTTAGCTTGTCTGAAACCTTTTGTACCCGCCCTCCCCTTCATCCTAACCCCCCCTTTTTTTGCCTTTGGATCGAGGGAGAGGATGGCTCTAATAGGCTTCCTAAATTCTTAGCAGATTATAAGCTTCTGATAAATGGAGAAGGGCTTCCCGTCTCCGAGGTACTTATGCACTTTCCCTATCGGGATGCAGCCCTGGGACGGCTGCACGGTCGTTTTAAAACAGAAGCAGAAAATGTGTTGTTGTTTCTTTCGTTTGTTTGACTGTTTCTCCCCTGCAAGCATTCACACATTCTTTTCTTCTTTGTTACAGGATGCTAGGAAAGCCTGTGCTGACGCTACCTTGGCCCAGGTAAGGTCTGCACCGGTGTGTGTGTGTATGTCCACAGGTCTTATAGTGGCCAAGGTTGGACACCTGCTATAGTGTATTCTCAGTCTCTTTCTCTCTCCCTCTGTCTCCTTCCCCCTTCATTCATCTCTCTCTCTCCCTGCCTCCTTCCCCGCTCTGTCTCCCTCCATCTCTCCTTCCCTCCCTCCTCCTTTCTTCACCCTCCCCCCTCTCCCTCCTTCCTTCATCTCTTTCTTCCCCGCTCTCCCTGCTTCGTTCGCCCATTTCCCTCCCTGTCCCTCTCTCTCCTTCCTTCCTTCCTTCCCTCTTTTTCTCTCCCTCCCTCCTTCCTTCATTTCTCTCTTTCCCTCTCTTTCCCCCTCTCTCCCTCCTTCCTTCACCCTCCCCCCTCTTCCTCTCCTTCCTTTCTTCCCCCCCTCTCTCTGCCTCTTTCCCCAATTCCCCCCTCTCTCTTTTCTCCTTCACTCTATTTCTCTCTCTCCTTCATCTCTCTCTTTCTCCCTCCCTCTCTCTCCCTGTCCCTGTCTCTCCCTCTCTCCTCCTCCCCTCTCTCTCACACACTTTTGTATCGTTGCTGTTGTTTGACAGGTTGTGTGCAATTCTTCTTTTCAGATCACAGCCAACATTGATCCTGTGGGTCGTATACAGATGCGCACTAGAAGAACACTGCGAGGACACTTGGCCAAAATTTATGCAATGCACTGGGGAACTGATTCCAGGTCAGTTCCCTTCTTCCTCCTCCTCTTCTTCTTTTCCTCCTCCTTCTCCTCCACCACCACCTTCTTGTCTTCTTCTTCTTTTTCTTCTCCTCTTCCTCCTCTTTCTTGCCTTCTTCCTCCTCTTCTTCCTCCTCCTCCTCCTCCTCCTCCTTCTCGAAAGGGCTGTTTTTAATCCAAGGAAAAGAATCTTATTAAGGACTCGACTTCGTTTCTTCAAGTCCACTAATCTGTGTTACTCGTATTTTTTTTAACTGATGTTTATGAACTGTGTCACAATGGCATTCAAACATAGAACAGGCTTAAAGTTAAAATGCTAATTACATAAGCAAAGTTTATAAGCCCCATTTAAAATATGTAAATTCAACATAATGACACGCCGTGCAGGGATAAATAGCATTTACACTATAAAATAACCACAATCAGAGTTAAGCTCTGTACAGATTCCCGCTTCTTTGTCATCTCATAGAAAAGAAAGACCTGAAGGTGGAAATATCAGCAGATCCTCCCCACAGTTACTTTCAAGACCAATTCTGATCCATTTTGATCAATACACTTTCCCAGGTGTTCAGCATTGTATAATACAGGCGGTCCTCAACTTACAACTGTTCATTTAGTGACTGTTCCAAGGTTACAACAGCACTGAAAAAAGTTGCTTACAACCATTGTGACGTCTCTGCAGCCACACGATCGAAATTCAGCCATGGATTTACGACGGTTGGCACGTCACAAGGTCGCATGATTTCCGTTCGTGGCCTTCCCCCCTCTGACTTTCCAACCCGCAAAATCTATGGGGGTGGGAAAGGCAGATTTGCATAACGACCATGTGCTTTATTCAGTGGGCATTAAGATTTACTTAATGACCATGAGCCCCCCAAAAGGTCGTAAAATTGGGCATGGCTGGCTTAGCAGCCGCTCTTATTAGCAATGGAAGTTCTGGTTCTAATTGTAGTCGTGATTCAAGGGCTTAACCGTACAGGCGATTCCCATGGCTGAGTTTTGGGTGGTTAAATGGCCATTTAAACAAAGATATGTGCAGATGGCTGCCCTCTAAACTTCAGGGTATAAACGGTGTCGAAGCCCTTGACACGGTTCCTGGGTTAAAGCTAAGGTGACTTTAGTTTGCTGTGAAGTATTCAATCAATTGATCGGGGCCAGTCTGGACCAGTTCACTGTATGATTAGCAAAACCAAAACCAATTTATTCTCCCTTGTCTGCCCTTCTAGGCTTCTGGTTAGTGCATCACAAGATGGAAAACTGATCATTTGGGACAGCTACACCACAAACAAGGTGAGAGACGAGCCAATTTTCTTGTTGTTGTTGAATTGCAGCAAAACAATTCAAACTTCAGTGCAACTTCGTTCGATAAAGCCTCTCTTCTTTTAAGACTGCTATAGCCCTAGTGAAGAGTTAAGATTCATACCCATTTACTTCTTTAGCAGTGAGCCAAAAATAATAAATTTCTTTTTTAAAAAAAAACATTTTTTATTGAAAATAAACATTAAAAATATTGAACGTGGTAGACTTTCTTTGACATACATTTCAGTCTTTACATTTTACATTTGAAAAAATGAAAAGAAAATATGAACATTTATACACACACACACACACACACACACACACACACACACATCTATACATTTAGGCTTTGTATCATTTTAGGTCTTATCCGTATACATCATTTCTATTTCGCTTTAAATTCTAATTTCAATTTTATGGGCTTCCTTTTATGTCCCTCCATACGTAGAATTTTTTCCATACTTTACAATATTCTGCTTTATCTTGGTAAAAATAATTATTTCTTGAAGCCGCAGAAAAGTTTAGCCTCTGCTGCTGGCAGTAGATTCATATTACATTTAAGAGCTTCTAGCTGGGTAAAAAATAGGGAACTCTAGCAGGAAATAGAAATTACTAATCGTTTGCAATCTTACAGAGCTACTTACCTTGTAATTTTTTCCCTATCACTATGTTTTCTCAAAGTTCCCTAAAGTACCCATTAGAGCTATCTTTCCTCAATTCCAGTGTATTTCCTCCCCAAATTCATGCAACACTTGTAAACCAGCATGTACCAGCATGTATAGTACTTAAAGCAGTGAAGATTAAGAGCAGGGAAACTCAGGTTCTCGTGTCCCCCACCCCACCCCTAGCCATAAAAGCTCCCTCAGGGAGTTCAAACCACTCAGTGTCTCCCCGTCCAATCTACCTTGCAGGGCTGTGGTGGGGAAAAATAGGAGAAGGTCAGCAGTCCCTTTGCAAGCAATTCAGTGCTGGCAAAAGCCAAATAACACAAGAGAGGCCTTTTCCCTAAATGGCTGCCAAATAGAAATAAGTGCTTAAAAAGCAGCATCTCAATGCCCTTTAGAAATCACAATTCATTTCCTGGGCTGAGAAGCACCAGTGCGGTTCGAACAACTTTTGCCTTATTTCAGGGTAATTTATTGGTAAAAACAGGACCCGCGTCCAATTTGCCAGGAAATTTACATCCCTGCTCCTTAAACTGCCAGCGAAACATCTACCTGCCTCCTGTAAGCCTATTTCATTCACTAAATTATCTTTTTTCCCCCCTGTGTTTTTGCTTAGGTCCATGCCATCCCTTTGCGTTCGTCTTGGGTCATGACCTGTGCATACGCCCCTTCCGGAAACTACGTGGCCTGCGGTGGTCTCGATAACATTTGTTCCATTTACAACTTGAAAACACGTGAAGGCAACGTCCGAGTAAGCCGTGAGCTGGCCGGGCATACAGGTACGTCCACCTCCCATCCAGACTCGGTTCCTTTGACCTCTGGATGATGCTCCATTCTTGGAAACATCAGCTTGTTTGTTGGGCGGCTTCAAAATATATTCCAAATTCTGGGTTATTTTTGTGGCAACTCAAGGGAAAGCTCACCTTACGTCAGGTGGTAATTCCTGAGCAGAATTCCTGAGACAGGTAGATGCTCAGCTCAGTATTTTGTTTTTCCCAGATATGTGGACTTCAACTCCCAGAGTCCCCGGCCATCTTGGGATGCTGCGAATATAAATCTACCAATCGCAACCACGCCTGGCTTCTTAAAAAGGCAGCTAAATTGGCTGCCTCCTTGTTCTGTGGTTGTGTGAACGTCACTTCTCCAGATTGAATGCAGCGTAGGGACAGGGAGTTTGGCTAGGATACATGAAGGATCTCTGGGTGAGTGGTGCAGTGGCCTAGAGGTGGAGCTCTCACCTCACAATCAGGAGGCCATGAGTTCAATCCTGGGTAGAGGCAGGTCTTTCTCTCTCTGGGCACAATGAGAATATATCTGCTGAACAAAACTCCACACTGGCGACAGGGAAGGGCATCCGGCCAGTAAACACTCAACTCCATTCAGTTGCCCAGACTCCACCCCACAAGGGATTATGGGGTCATTAAAAGAAGATGATATGAAGGATCTCTGGGGGCTGGTTCTGCAAGATATTACTTAGTGCAGGAGTTCCCAAACCCCCGATCGATGGACTGGCAGGCCAGCAACCAGTCCACGCAAACAAGTGAAGCCCCACCCCACAGGATGCAGCCCCTCCAGTCCGTGGCAAAACCTCTCTCCATGGAACTGGTCCCTCGTGCCCAAAAGCTTGGGGGCCACTTTCCACCCCCAATCATAGAGAAAGAGATAGAGAACTGACTACTGACAGCTGAATTTTTAAAGCTGTCAACTACATCTGTCCCAGGAGATTAAGCTGTTCAATACCCCAAACAGCTGGGGGGTTTTATTTTTATTTCCCCCCCGGGTGCCATTAAAAAGATGATAGTCTCCCTTTCGTCATAATAGACTTAGCACGATTATCCAGCGGAATTCTTCCTCCCCAGCGGTGTGTGTATTGGGAATATCTCCGAATCTGCCTCAGTCAACTTGCAGGCCATTAAACAAAATTCAGCATGACGAAATTCAAGAGCGCTAATAAAAAGGATGAACGTTTTTAAGAGGATAAGCAGATGGGATATGAATCTCGGTCTCGGGTGTCGGATTTGAAAAGGGTTCAGGATTAAAAAGGACAGCTAATGTCTCCTTTTTTTTTTTTAGTCGTTCTGGATTGTGTGGGATTCCTTTGGGAACATTTGTTATTCTTGCAGAGTATAACAGGTGTGAAGGCAGTGATGTAACACACCTTGAGAGTGACAGACTAATTGGGAAAGCAATCCCGTGGAGCTGTCGTTGACTTCTTATAGTTTAACAGAGAAGTTTATCCTTTGTACCCGAGGATCCAGTTTTTTTGGATGAGCTGAAGCCATTCTTGCCGCTGTTTTAGTCTGGGTTTCGCCCGCGCTCCTCAACAATGGCAGAGTACAGAATAACAAGAGTTGGAAGGGACTCGGAGGTGCAAGCCTCTGTTCCTGCAGGAGACCAGGGATTCAATAATGAGTGGTTTCAGCCACGTGTCAGGATGTTCTGCTTGAATAGAAGAAAAAAAATATATGAGGGTTCTGCCAAGGTTGGACATCCTTCTCCCAGAGCAGGGGTCTGCAACCTTAAACACTCAAAGAGCCATTTGCACCTATTTCCCACAGAAGAGAAAACACCGGGGGCCACAAAACCTGGGTGGGCGTGGCCAACTCAACAACACTCCCACCAAGTCACATGACACACACACACACATGCCACACCTACCCAGGTTTTGTGGCTCCCAGTCGTTTCTCCCTCCCTCCCTCTCATTTCTGTTTTTTTGTGTTTTACCATCTCAGGCCAGGCAAGGAGTGACTGGGAAGGGAGGGTGACGGGCAGGGCCAGCCAATGGTGGGATCACCCAACAAGTAGCCGCAGCAGAGGGCCACGGGTTGCCAGTACCCATTCTAGAGGAAAAGCAAAATGTAACCCAAAGAATAAAGATGGGCGCATCACCAAAGATTAGGCTTGTAATGTATCCCAGCACAGCCCAGGGAGAATTGTGCACCGCTCCTTGGGGCGCTGGTCCCTAGAGATAGCCCATAACCCACCTCTGTTCTACGGAGCTCCTTAAATATGGAATTGTGAACAAACAAAGCAAACAAGCCCCCTTGCTCACCGGGACATCCAGCAGCCCCTTAATTTACTCTGCGCTTTCTGTTTGCAAAAAAATAAAATACAAATAAAATTAAGACTTGAAGGTGCAACTCAGCTCAGGGACTCTTCCTCCCACTTGCCAGCTTGGCTCCGGAAAACCTTTGGCAGTCCTTAAAAGAGATCCCTCCCCCCCACTCCACAAGCAAAGCTCTGCGTCCCGCTGGCTTCGCTCTGCTGCAGGCTTTTTGGATGGAGACGAAAAGCAGCACTCCGAGAACAGCTCGCCGGGGAGGGCAGTAATAAAGAGCTATTTATAAAATCTGGCCAGGTTTACAGGTGAGAGAGTCAGATGGGATCATTTTTTTCTGAATAAGCCTGACTTGAAGCTAAGGTGGGGGATAATATTTATGGCAAAGGGGTTTGTGATGATCCAGGGTGGAATACAAAAATAACCAAGGCACAGAAATAGAATAAAGTTCCTTTAATGCCTCCAACTTGGGCCCCAATGTCCAATTATCCTCGTCTGGAAATCAAACTCTTAAAGAACACAGTTTATGGAAGGAGCTTTCAGAGTCCAAACCGATCAGAGTGATCGACCTTACTTCCTGCCAAGGTTTTCCTACCTTTGCACTTCCTTTATACCTTATGGGAGGGCCAATCCCCTCCAAGCCTTATTCCCGAGTTGCCCCTTTTGTCTTTGCTGCTCTTGCCTTCTGGCAGCTCTGTGCATACGCGCACTGGGAACAGGCTCCCCTTGTTCCTCTGCCTCACCAGACTCTGGAGGCTGCAGAAGGCAGCACATAACTCCCAGATGGTCCTAGTCCCATCTCTGCATCAGACGCAGGACCCTTGTCCGAGTCCTCCCCAGACTCCCAGACTGGTCCCCTTTCTTCCTCACTGTCCTACTCCGCTGCCGTCCACCCACCCACAACAATCTCTCGCTTTCTCTTTTTGTAGGCTATTTGTCCTGTTGCCGGTTTGTGGATGATAATCAGATTGTGACCAGCTCTGGAGATACCACTTGGTAAGATCCGCGCTCGGGTAGCACGGCCGTCGAAGCCTTTCGCGCAGCTCAAAACAAAATGTTAAACAAATTGCTCTCCCCTGCCAGCCTTGAAAATCCTGCAGAAACATAAAAAGGGAAGGAGGAGGAGGGCTGTTTTTACTCCGAGCACCAATGTTCAGGCAGGAGTTTATTTTTAGCACCCCGAAATCAGGAGGGTTTTTTTTGTGTGTGATGGAAGCTTGTGCCTTTTATCATTAGGAGTCATACAACCCTTGCGGAACTCGCCTCCGATCCCTCCTTGATCATAAATACTAGTCAAAAGCACTCCTTATTCCCCAGATTTAATCAATATTTTTATGGTAGTCGAAGAAGTCCATTTCTACTCTGTTCCTTTTTTTATCCCGCTGACTCCATCGCTGTTTTGATGTCTGCAGATCGATGCGGGCATCAAGTTTATCTCACATCAACCGCAATAGCAATAGCACTTAAGACTTATATACCGCTTCACGGTGCTTTTACAGCCCCCTCTCTAAGCGGTTTACAGAGTCAGCCTCTTTCCTCCAACTGGGTTCTCGTTTTATCGACCTCGGAAGGATGGAAGGCTGAGCTCAACCTTGCACGGCAGATACCTGACAATCGGCTGGCTGGCGGGGGGGCGCCTGCGCAGTGGGGCTCTTCCGGGCGACCTCTTGCGTGGCGGCAGAAATGGCTCTGCGTGCCACAGGTTCGCCATCGCGGTTTTAAGGCCTGCAAGTCAGAGAAAGGGAGAGAGAGAGAGCTTGCAAATTTACAAAATGTGACCTGTGTGTGGGAATCCAGCAGAGGTTTAAAGGGAGGGGGAAACACACACACACACACACACACCGCTGGGAAGATGAACTCGGTTGTTCTGATGGCGGCTTTTCCGTTCTCCCGCCCTACCGCAGCGCCCTGTGGGACATAGAAACGGGACAGCAAACCACCACATTCACCGGCCACACCGGCGATGTCATGAGCCTCTCCCTCGCGCCGGATTCCAAGTGTTTCGTCTCTGGTGCCTGCGATGCCTCAGCCAAGCTGTGGGATGTCCGAGAAGGGATGTGCAGGCAGACCTTCACCGGCCACGAGTCGGACATCAATGCCATTTGTGTACGTAGGAAATGGGGGGTGGCCGTTGCTCGGTCTGTCTATCATACCTATCTCTAATATCTATCATCTATCTTTCGGGGTGAGGGGTTGGACTAGATGATTTACAAGGTCTCTTCCCACTCCTAATCTAATCTATGTCATCTGTCTATGCATATCTCTCTGTCTCTGTCATCTCTCTTGTCCTATCTGTCTGTCTGTCTGTCTCTGTCTATCACTATATCTATCTCTGTCTATCTCTATGTCTGTCTATCTCTAGATCTGTCTATCTCTGTCTATCTGTCTTTGTATATCTGTCTCTGTCTATCTGTCTCTATCTGTCTCTATCTGTATATATATCTATCTCTGTCTATATCTCTGTCTATATCTCTGTCTATCTGTCTCTGTCTATATTTATCTGTCTATATCACTAATATATATATATGTATCTGTCTCTGTCTATATCTCTATGTCTGTGTCTATCTGTCTCTGTCTCTATCTGTCTATTTCTATCTCTGTATATATATCTGTCTACCTCTATCTCTGTCTATATCTATCTCTGTCTATGTATATCTGTCTCTGTCTATCTCTGTCTATATCTATCTCTGTCTATCTCTATATATCTCTTGATCTGTCTATTTGTGTCTGTCTATCTCTATCTCTCTGTCTATATTTCTGTATCTATCTCTAGATCTGTCTATCTCTGTCTATCTATCTATCTTTGTATCTCTCTTTCTCTATCCATCCATCCATCCATCATCTTATTGAGGAATTGCCCATGTCCCTCGCAGAGAGCATACAAATAAAACATTAAAAGCAAAAAAAAAAAACACCCCAGTATGCTTTAAAAAAAATCCTTCCATATTATTAAGCAGCGACACCTGCCCATCCGGGATCCTTGCGTGGGATCCAATAGGTGGACAGAAATGCCAGCTCCAGGCTGAACCTCTGGCTGACTGCACGACCGCCAACCACCCTCATGCTAAATAGCTTCCATCCGTTCCTTTCTCCCCGCGCAGTTCTTCCCCAATGGCAACGCTTTCGCCACCGGCTCCGACGACGCCACGTGCCGGCTTTTCGATCTCCGTGCTGACCAAGAGCTCATGGTTTATTCCCACGACAACATCATCTGTGGCATCACCTCCGTAGCATTCTCCAAGAGCGGGCGTCTCCTGCTAGCCGGTTACGACGACTTCAACTGCAACGTGTGGGACACGCTCAAGGCGGACAGAGCAGGTCAGGCTTTGGCCTTCTTTTTTGGGGGGGGCCACAAGGGGGGGGCCCACGTGGCTGGGGAAGAGCATCTCAAACGGGATAGGAGGTGGCGGGTGAGGGAGGAAGTGGGGGAGGAAGGGGAAGGAAGGATTATCAAATCCTTGAGCAAATTCAGCCATTCATGATTCTTTTCTCCTCCTTCCCTCCCTGATTTCTCCTTCCTTCTTTCTTACTTTCTCTTTCTCCTTCCCCTCCTCCCTCCCTCCCTCCCTCTCTGTTCCTTCCTTCCTTCCTTCCTTCCTTCCTTCCTTCCTTCCTTCCTTCCTTCCTTCCTTCCTTCCTTCCTTCCTTCCTTCTCTGTCCTTCGTTCTCTCCTGCTTTCTCTCTCTCTGCTGCCTCCCTCCCTTCCCCTCCCTCTTCCTTCCTCCTCCATTTCTTTCCTTCATCTCCTCCCCCATCTATTCTTTTCTTCCTTCCCTCCCCCTCCCTGTTTTATACACACACACACACACACATGAGATGACTCTGTGGTAGATATTTGCTACTTGGCTGTGTTGCACCTCTCCTCCTGCTAAATTGCGTTTCATTCTCCTCTCTCCTCCCCTCCGCAGGCGTCTTAGCTGGCCACGATAACCGTGTCAGTTGCTTAGGTGTGACCGACGATGGCATGGCAGTGGCAACAGGATCGTGGGATAGCTTCCTGAAGATCTGGAACTGAAGCCCGTAGGTACTCCATTCCCATGCTCCCCTTCCCCTCAAAGCAGCGGGCAGGAGAAATGTGCCGGAATCTCCTCCCATCTTCCCTTAAAGTGAATTACGGGATTGTTGGGGAGGGAGACGCAGTCCCACGACAACAGAGGCGTGCCTAATCCTGGCCTGGTCAACCTCTAGCCTCAAGGAAACCACCATCGTATCAAATGATCATCGGGGGTTTCTGTGTAGGAACAAGGCATTCTGGTTTAAGGGACGCTGGGTCCTTAACGGGTCATTCGCACAGCTCCCTGTCCACCCTGTGCTTCATCTAGAGATGTGGCTTAACAGGAGGGCAAAGCCATCCGTGGCTACGTTAATTTCCCTCCCTTACCAAACCCAGTACAGTTAGTCCTCGACTTACAACAGTTCGTTGAGTGACCGTTCTAAGTGAACAACGTCACTGGGAAAAAAAAAAGGCTTATGACTGGTTTTCACACTGGCAGCATCCCTGTGTCACATGATCAAAATCCGGCAACTGGCACCTACTTAATGATGGTTTTATATATATATATATATATATATATACCGTGTTTCTCCAACAATACGACCTCCCCCAGTAGGAAGACCCAGCATGTTTTCTAGGCATAAAATGAAATTAAGCCCCTCCCCCCAAATTTAGGCCTATTTTAAAACATGCAAAATGGGGGGAAAGGGCGGGGGGGCTTGCCGTTAGGAGCGCCCCGCGGGCAGCAATTCCTCGCCACCAGCTGCTCCTAGTGGGCGATCACGGCAGAGCGCAGAGAGCTCCCTACTCCTGCCAAGCACCTTTGCGGCAGACCCAAGACCTTCAGCGCCCGCCGCTGTTGATTTCCCTTTCTGCCCATGCCGCCGCCGCGTTTGGAGCTGCCACTTCCACGTTTGGAGCACCGCTGCCGTTTGGAGCACCAGTCTTGGGTCAAAGACCCTGTCTTATATTTTTTTGCCACCCAAAAAGGCACCAGGTCTTGTTTTGGGGGGGGATGCCACCCACTGACTAACCTCACTTGCGCGCGTCACCCCCCCAGCCTCCTTTTTGCTGTCAGAGGCAATAACATATATATATATCTGGATCGATTAATATATATATATATATATATATATTGGCTTTTCTTCCAGGCCCTAACCAAGGTTTCTTTCTCTCTGTGCATTTTCTGGCAGGACAGTCCGTGGACTCCCCGCTGATCAGAAGAAAAAAATTTCCCCCAACGGTTGAAAGTTTAAAATAATGTATCCAACTCAATATACTAACTTGGATCCCCTTCTCTGCCTCCCTTCCTCTCTCTTTCTCTCCCTTTCCCTCTCCCCCCTTCCTACCCTACCACCCAAGGGCAAGATCTTTTCATGTCTCTCCTTCGCCAAAGCAAAGAGCACAAGTCTCTCCCTCAAAGAGGAATCACCGCGGTTGTTATACCAGTAATAGCAAAAGAGATCAAAATTGTGCATTCCATTGGGGACCACGTATATTTTTTTTTTTGCGGGGGGGGGGGGGTTGTCTAGAGAAAAAAACAAAAAAAAACCTTACAAAAGAAATCACACGCTTGTGTAAGCATGCCCAGGCAAAACTTTAAAGTGAAGTAAAGTGATACGATAAATAAGTAAGGAAAAACAAAAACACCTTGTCGGAAGCAAAGTTAACCTTTCAAATTTCACTGTAGTTTAAAAAAAAAGAAAGAGGCAAATCATACTGACTTTATGGTGGGAAGGCTTCGTTTTAATCTCATTTTCGAAACTTAGAAGTCACATGCGTAGCAAGATCGGTATATCCCCTCTTTCTTTGTCCCATGTTTCCATTACCTTTTCCCCTTTTTTTATAAAAAGAAATTGCAAATTGCTTCTTACGGTCTAATTTTGAGCCAAGAGAAAGGAGTCCCATCCCAGGCATTTCTGGGGTTGTTAAATGCTGTAAATTTACTCCCTGGATTTTCTTTTCTTTTCTTTCTTTATTATTGTTCTTTTTTTTAATTTCTGTCTTAATGTCACAAATCGTTGCACAAATATTGCATATATATGATAATGTTAAGAAGATAACCAAGCACACTCTGTACATGGTATTGAATGTTTAAAAAAAAAAAGCAAACCTTTTCACTTCTGTGGGTAACAAAAAAATAATAATAATAATAATAATTCCCTCTTTTTTATTTTTTTCCCAACCCCAATCTCGCCTCGTGGGCCAATTCTTCATTTCCTATCTGCTGAGTTTGATTGACTAACGCCGAAGATTATCCCATAATTTCTGTAAACAGCCAGATTAGGTGGATTTGGGGTTTCAGGAGCAAGGCTAGGGAAAAGTGGGGGGCGGGAAAAAAACCCCACCAGTTGAACTTTTGGCTGGGTCTGAAGCAAGATCCAAATTTGGTTTTTTATTTTTTAGTGAAAACCGTGATCTGAGGGTTTTCTAAATTAAACGATTATGATAGACAGGTGCAAATGGGGGGTGGAAACGTTTGGGATTTGCCAGTTGTGGGTTGGATTACTCTTAGAATCGCATGCTGTAGAAATGCTGAAGTGCATAATAAAACTAAGATGTCCTTCTCTTTGTGTTTTCTTTCGAGAAATTAACCTCATCCTTTTTTATTTTATTTTATTTTATTTTTTAAAAGAAAGAAAGAAAGCAATCATTGCTGATTTTCCTTACTGCCGCTTAACCGGGGGGTGGTGTGTGTGTGCACAAGAATGGATTCCACCGAAGAATGCAGACTTTTTTGTTTTTTGTTTTTGCACATCTGGAAGTAAGGTGATAAAAGTCATTATTTTTAATTTTTAATAACGTGTTTCTCCCCCCGGCTCCTTCTTCCTCCCCCCAATTAAAACAAAAAAACAAATTTGAAAGCAAAAAGCTAGAGAAAGAAGAAAAAAAATGGGGTCGAAACTCTTTCAATCAAGCCCCTTTTTTCCTCTTGCTTTGCATTTTGAAAGTTGATGAGCATTTAGACAGCAAATCGTTTGGATAAACTTTTCAATTCTTCCTCTCCTCCCTTCCCTTCCCCCTCCCTTTTTTTAAAAAGCAGTGATTTTTTTAAAATCCTCTTTTCACTCCCCCCTCCTCCTTGCAACATTCTGTACAAAACGTGCTGTAATCGTGCATTTTTATTTTTAAAGGCCTGGATTTGGCATCTTGAATTTTTCTTTCTTTTTTTTTCTTTTTTGGATTTTTTTTTTTTAAATCGCCCTCTTTCCTCTTCCCTTGCCCCCACCCTTCCCTTGAGATAAATCTCTATAGAGCTTCCTCTGCACCTCACCCCCCACCCCCCAGATTCCTTCACTTTTTGTATTTAATTTTAAAGTCGGTGTACTTCAAGAAAGCTGGATGCAAGATAGATCCTATATTAAAAATGTACTGTTATTTAAGATGTAATAAAGCAGTTTGACATGAATTGTCGGAGGGCCCTTGTGGTTTTTGCTGGAAGCAGAAACAGCATTTTGTTCTTCAGGGAAACACGGCTGTGAGTGGCCTGGTTCCTCTAGAAAAATGTTGTATGCCATAACCATATGGTTTGCAACCATAATCACATGCTAAGCCAAACCGACTGGCTTTAGATGAAATGTGATTAAATGAGCACGATTAATTTCCTGTGTTTGGGTTGTACAGCACATTACGGTCCAGCACAGAACAGGATTGGAACTCAGTTCTATATCGCAAAGTACAGAGGAACTATTATTGGTCATGTTAGCCTGTGTCTTAGCAGGTTGTGTGAACTAAATCATCGTGGGACCCCGTGTAAGTATCTGGTGTGTGATGTAAGTTTTGTGTATAATTAGATCACTATGTGCACATTCTGTAATCCGTAATGTGGGTTTATAATTAGATTTGAAGTGTGTGATCTCACAAGCCACTAAACTGGGTTAGAACTAAACTTGGATTCTCTTCGTTTTAAGGCCAAGCCATTGAGAAAGTGTGAAGTGGGGAGCTGGCACTAAACTGTGCAAAATAAACAGGCTTATTTTTTGTTGACTGAAATTACAAGTCTTTATTTTCTTTTAGGCTGTCTGCAAAAAGGATTCCTCACTAGAGTTTTGCAGTCTCGGTTAGCAGTCTAAAATAATTTAGGTTTGTGTTTGTTTAAAAGTGGGGGCGCACCAAGTCCATGGCTAATTGCACAGGCCTCGAGCCTGCTAGGCAAGGATGATGGGTGCTGGAATCCTGCACCTTGAAGGGACCAGAGAAAACACATGTTGTGCAGACATCGGCGATCTTGGCCAAGCCACTGGAAAACCGAAAAGGAATTCCTGAATTCCCAAATGTGGTTTTTGTGTGATGCATTTATACATCCCCATAGAGCTCGATTGAGCTAATCTGAATGTTTGAAAAAAAAATGTTTGAACAGAAGCTGAAGTGATCCTGGATAAGGCATGGTTGCCTGGCTGGAAGAAGAGCAAAAATCAAAATATTTATTATCAAAATTACCTTTCTCACTTCCAAGAGAGGGGGAAAACAGGGAACTTGACCCTTTCTTTCTGTGCCAAGGAGAGATGCAAACTCTGCAGCCCTTCCCTGGGCCTTGATAGTTGGAATCTGCTCCCAAAAAGAAATTGGTTTCTTTGGTGCAAAAAAAAATCCCAGCCTTTTTTAACGCAGTTGGAGGGGTGGCATCTCCGCTGTGGTCCCAGGAAGGGACTTGAAACCCCGGCTTGAAAAATGCAGCGGCAGCCAAGCCAAGAAAATAAGCTTTCCAGGAGACGGAGTAGGAAGCCTGGCTGCGATCCAGGATGAGTCATCCTTGCTTTCACAAGGAATTATATGTTTGCTTATTCAAACCACCTCTCTCTGCCCAGTAGCTTTTCCTAACCGTTTCCCCCCCCCCTTTTTTTTAATAAAATGATCGGTTTCTTGGCATTGTGTCACGAGGGAAACCAACGGAAAAGAGAGAAGGTAAAGAGATCTGGGTGATTTGATGCACGCATTGTCCCGTCCTTTGTCTGCAACGCCTCTTCCTGTCTCGCCAACTGGGGATCACTTGGTGGTCTCCCATCCAGCCCGAACGGATTAGTTTCTTGGTTCGTGCAAAGTTGGCAACACGCCTCTTCTTTGCATTAAGACATTTCAAGCTATAGACACTTCCTTTTTTTTGTACACTTCTGGGTTAGATTTTTTTTAAAAAAAACTTCACTTGATGATTTATGAGGGGATAGAGACTCATCATTGTCCAATGAAATCTATCTAAAAATAAAATTCATTTTTGTTTTGTTAAAAATCATTCTAGGTTTTAAATCTCTAAAGTGTGATTTGGTGGCTTTAAAAATGTCCTTTGATTTGTATAGGAATAATGATAATTCCTGAGACAGATTTTGATACCGATATTAGTGATCAATAATATTGATCATTATTTATATCCCTTACACAATAATGGTTTCAGGAGACATAGATCCATTTTTCAAAAACTGAAGGATGATTACAAATCATCCATTATACACATAGGTCTGTATAAGTTTTTTTTGCAGAATTAGGAAAATTCCCAAATGTGAATTCCATGAATCTCTGTTTTTGCAAACATGCTGATCTCAAATTCTGGCATTGTCCCAATTATAAAATCTTTTTTTCACATTCCATTAGCTTAACCCCACTCTTTTAAAAAAATTAACAATTTTCTTAATCTAAGAAACATATTCTTAATTAAATGAAGTGGGTTTTTTTTAAATCTAAAATGCCCTTACCCATTTGCTCCACTAGAGGGAACCCTTTCAACGCTTAAGCGTTCTTCCAAAGACTGGAAAGCTAGAATTTTGCAAACCAAAAATAATCTTTTGTTTATTTTCTGTTTTCCTTCTGCAATGAGGCTGCCAAGGCTGAAAATGGCCATAATCAATCCTTCATTTCTCCAAGGGACACATTAGAAGAGATAGCTTCTAATAGATAACTGGTTGTACATGCAGGTAAGCCATTAAATGGCAGTCAAAATGGAAACCCTCCAGTTTAAAAAAAAAAAAAGATAAACAGAAGTAGCTTTGGGAAGAAAAAGGAAAAAAAAGAGAAATTGCAGTTAGGATCTGAGGAAGTGGAGAGGGATTGCTAGGGTTCCCTCCTCCAAGAGTCATTTTTAGTAAATATCTGTAGGTATTTCGTTGTATATATGATGTACAATGACAAAGGCATTGAATTTAATTGTATTATCTTCAAGTATCAAGTAATTATAAATTCTCTTTTGGGCTACTTTTGTGGTTCTCTCATCTGGCAGCTGGAGTGATATGGCATGCTTGATTCTTACAGCAAATAAATTATTTAGTAAAGAAGTAAGTAAAAGTACATGAGGACTAGTGACTTATTTTGCAATGGGGCTAAAACTATAAATCAATTAATTAGCAACCAAATTATTCTCAATTGACGACCTTAAGAGAAGGGCTTTTGAGGAAAATGACGAAAACTATTTGCTTATTTTAAGAGTTAAGAGTTTAACAGTTAAGGGGTAAATTTTATTTGTCTGGCCTTCCAGTCCCTTTGTCTACAGGCCTTCAAGCTTGGCAACAAAGAGGCCTTTTTTTCTCCCCTTTCTTTCTTTCCCTTCCAAATGCTTTCCAAAACACCCGATGTTCTCTGCCAGCTGGAGCTTACAGGTATAAATATAGCTGTAGATGAAAAGAATATTAATGTATGAATCAGACAGGAGAGAACAAAGTCTTATTGATATTCAATGCATCTGCAAATTCCTAGTCATTTGGATCTGACAGCTGCCAGATGAAAATGGCACATTAAATTAATAGGGGAAATGAACAGAATTTGGTTAGCCAGATCTCTTTTTGTGTGTGTATGTGGATCTCAGTCTGTAGCATCAGCCATCTTTGTCTAAACCTCTCAAAGTTTAGATACGAATTTTTGAAACACACACACACACATTACAGACTATTCTAAAAATACGAGTTCCAGGTAAAACTGAAAAAAGTGACAGACATCCCGATCTCTGGAACTAAAAAATTATATTGTTCACTAAGCTTTTGTTAGCCTCTGCTAACATTGTCAGAGTGTAAAACTATCATTAAGGAGGTATCTTACATAGCACATATCTCCTTAACTGTCGTTTTACACTGATGATATTAGCAGAGGCTAACGAAAGCTTAGTGAGCAATATAAACTTTTAGTTCCAGAGATCGGGATGTCTGTCTCTTTTTTCACACACACATACAAACATTTTCAAAAAAAAAAAAAAAATTCCTTTATGCATTTTGACCTCTCTTTCATCATAAGAAATTTTGATACAACTGCAAACCTATTTGGAGCTGACGATGTAAGATGCAGCTTAGTATTTGATAATGGCCATCCCTCATCAGTTTAACAAAATAAAATTCAATTTATTCAGTCAACTGGCAGACTATTTTTGTCACTGAGAGCATATGAATAACGCAAATCAATTAGCGCTGTATTTTTTTAAAAAAAAGACAAGGGGAAATCAGGGCATTGATACAGTTGCCATAAATCTGTGGTCTTTTAATAATTTAGTATGCAGAATTCTGATTTGGCGTTGAACCTTCTAAATTCATTGAATTTAGTGGGTGGGGCAACAGGGTTGTGACATAATGCAAAACGCTCATGTCACTGTCAATTTTCAGGGCCTGCCAATCATGTCTGCAGACTGAGATTGTTAATATTGTTAAGACCGAAAAGATCCCAAAACGGAACAGCATCACTGAAATTTTAGCTTCTTAGGATCTTAAAGGGGACCAAGCTCATCCTATCCTGGGAAGTTTTGAAGTACAGATAGTCAGATAACAGATGAACTGAGTTGGAAGGGACCTTGTAGGTCATTTAGTCCGCCCCCCTGCCCAAGCAGGAGACCCTACACCATTTCTGATAGATGGGAGTCCAATAGGAATAGAATAGAATAGAATATAGAATATAAATAGAATAAGAAATAGAATAGAATTAGGAATAGAATTAGGAATAGAAATAGAAGTGGGGAAGATTTTTATTTTTTTAAATATTTGTTTAAAATTATTTTTAATAATCTGATTTCCGGGTGGGGGAGGCAGCGAAGGAAGGCAGAAGGGACTCGCGACGCAACGCCGCGCGCCCCTCTATCTTTTTTAAACAGCTCTCTCGGCCACCCGGGAGGCGCGAGTGCGCAGGCTCGCCGTGACGTCACCCCCCGTCCCGCCCAGAGGGCCTCCGCGCGCCCAGCTTTCCCTCACGAGGGGAGGGAGGGCGCTGAGGCGGGCCGAGGGGCGGAGAATGGGGGCGGCGCGTGGCGGGCTCCGCGCCGGCGGCCGCCTTCGGCCGGATTCGCTTGCCTGGAAGCGCCCGC